TCATCAGCTACTGTCACCGCAGTGACACCCAGATAAAGACATACAGTGGAAACCCGCTGGCTACAAAATTGATGTTTTTATTTACACTGAAAGATAAAATGTGTTTTTCATTTGTTTATTTGTATTCTGAACACTTGAGCCTCACATTACTTCTCTTACTGATTGCCCTGAATTCAAATAGGCTTTAATTTGGCTTAATGTGGATCATTAGCACTTTTTCTGCAAAAATAACACACAGTAGAAACATAGAAATGTGTGCTTCTCTTATTGAAGACAATACATTTTGACAGCAGTGACAGTATATTTGAGTCCGCTACCTGGTGCTGAATGATTGGATTAATTACAGCTCATTATTACTGATAGTTTTCATTATCTCGCTCCATCCTGGCCAACACTTTCTGCTCCTCTAAAGGGCTCAGGAGGCCAGCAGAGCAGCACAAAGCAGCATTCATTTTCCCTCTAATCACAACATGCTGCTCAGAGGAAGATAACGGTGGACAAAAGTAGACCGAGAAAAAGGAAGAGAACAGATAAAGAAGGTAAAAGGCAGGAGAGAGAGGAAGGAGAACAAAAGTCGGGTAAATAAGAGAGATAAAGAGGGTGAGAGGGATTGAGAAGAGGAAGAGGAGGGGAGGAAAGGACAGGATGAAGAAGACACAGCCCACGTCAGCATTTGCAACTACAACAACAATAATAATAATAATAATAGCTTTATTTATGTAGCACCGTATCGTCGTGATACACTAAATGTAATTAAATATAGAAATAGAGGAATACCAAATGACATTAATAAGAGCAGAATAGAAGCCATAAACATGAAATGAAAATAAAAATAGAAATAAAATAGAATTTGAGATTGAAGTGATGTGCTCCTGGAGCTGAGCTATTTTATACATAAAAAAGAGCTTCCTCAACAGACAGTGCTGAAATTTGAGTGAAAGAATGAGGAAGCTATCAAATTAGCTGTGGGATCATTAAGTTTTATATAACCCTGTTCTGTTGAAATATAAACGGCTCCACAGAAGATCCAGCATCAATAAAGTATGGAAGCCCATTTCTGCCAATGTGAAAAAAAAAAAAGATTCTGTAAGCCTGTAAGTCATTATAATGAGAAACCTTCTCAAAATATTGACTTTGAGATACTAACTCAACTTAAAATGTGACTTTATATTGCTTTTGTCTTTTAACCATCTTCAAAATGTGTCTTTTCAACATAGATTCGCCTAGCACATAGCATATCTAAATAAAGGAAAGGAGGAAGTTGACCAATGCTTCCTCAACTGTTATTGGAGAACAGAACAAGAAGGGGCGGGACTTAGGAAGGGCTGACTTTCAACCTCTGTAGCACGAGTGCTGTGTGCAGAAGAAGTAAACATACGATCCTGCGACTTCACGAGGAGCATGGAAGAAAGACAGAGGTGAGGGTGACATAAAGAAGAAGAGGAAGAGAAACGAGAGTGTGACTGGGAGGGAGGGAGGTGTGAAGGAGGAAAAGTGAAAGAAGAAAGGAGAAAGGTGGACCGTGACAGGGCACAATCCTTACCTCTTTCCAACCGCATGCCATCCACGATTACTTGAACTGCTGCTCTTTCACTCGGCTGATTTGCTGACATTTTTTGGAACAAATTCCTTCTGTTACAGAGTGTGTGTGTGTGTGTGTGTGTGTGTGTGTGTGTGTGTGTGTGTGTGAGAGAGAGTCTCTGCTCTC